CAGTCACGGCATCATGCTGTGGAGCAGCGACATGCTCTGCAGTCTGTAGCGCCTGCGGAAAGTTTCAAAACAGGTACCATCTCAACTGCCTAGTGCGGAGGATCTCGGACTAACAAAGACAGTATGGCGACGAGAATCGCTTATGCCTTCATCCTTTTGATCAACTCTATACTCTCCTGGATTATGCTCACGCCATGGGCCCTGAAGAAATTGCAACATCTGACACTGGATTATATGGAGATTCGATGCGACGGGAAGGAATGTCACGGCTGGGTCGCGGTCCATCGTATTAACTTTGCCCTCGGTCTCTTCCATTTACTCCTCGCCCTTTTGCTTCTTGGCGTCAAAAGCTCGAAAGATACTCGCGCCGCTCTCCAAAATGGATTTTGGGGTCCGAAGGTCATCCTCTGGCTGGCCTTTATCGTCATGTCTTTCTTTATCCCCGAACCCTTCTTCTTCGTCTATGGCAACTACATCGCCTTCTTCTGCGCCATGCTCTTCCTGCTTTTGGGTTTGATCCTTCTGGTGGACCTTGCGCACTCGTGGGCGGAGCTATGCCTGCAGAAGATCGAAGATAGCGACTCTCGCGTGTGGCGCGGTCTGCTTATTGGTTCGACCCTCGGCATGTACTTGGCGTCTTTGGTCATGACCATCCTGATGTATATCTTCTTCGCGAAGAGCGGTTGCTCTATGAACCAGGCTGCTATCACCGTATGTATCCCACACCACCAATCTTAGCGCCTAACTGACTCGTCACAGGTTAACCTGGTTGTGTTTTTGATCATCTCTTTCGTTTCTGTCCAACCAGCAGTGCAAGAATCGAACTCTCGCGCAGGACTGGCTCAGGCTGCAATGGTCACTGTCTACTGCACCTACCTGACCATGTCTGCCGTTTCAATGGAACCGGATGACAAGAACTGCAACCCCCTCATCCGGTCCCGCGGAACTAGGACTGCCACTATCGTCCTCGGTGCGATTGTCACTATGCTGACTATCGCATACACCACCACACGCGCTGCTACCCAAGGAATTGCCTTGGGATCGAAGGGCGGCCACAGCTACATCCAGCTGGGCACGGATGACAACGAGCACGGCTTGGTGACTCAACAACCAAATGCCCGTCGAGAGATGCGCGCTGAAGTTCTCCGGGCTGCTGTTGAGAGCGGCAGTCTTCCTGCTAGTGCCCTGGATGAAAGTGACGACGAAGATGACTATGAAACCACGAAGGACGACGAGCGTAGTTCAACACAATACAACTACTCGCTCTTCCACATCATCTTCTTCCTCGCCACAACGTGGGTAGCCACTTTGTTAGTCCAGGGACTGACACTGGAGACCACGACAGATTTCGCACCGGTGGGCCGCACATACTGGGCCAGCTGGGTGAAGATCGTCAGCGCCTGGGTCTGCTATGCTATCTATCTTTGGACTCTGGTTGCGCCTGTTATGCTGCCAGATCGCTTCGGTGTTTATTAGTTTTTTCATATTGATTGTGCGCGTTAAGAGCGATATTGTTGCTCCTAATTGACCATTTTGATTTATATCCATAGTTGCGGTTCTATCCAATTCACAAATGAACAAATTCAATTATGTCCTTGCAACGTAAATAAAACATCAGGGGCGTCATCGAATCCATGGATGGATCGAGCTTGTCATAATCAACTGGCTCACCGCGGTCTTGGCAAACCCACGCGTTAAGTGAGACGCGTGCCAACTTCTCCTCTGTAGACATCATGGGATGAACATGGCAACAATCCAAGCCATTGAGGCCCGCTCTGTATGCAATCTGATGTCTTTCCCGACGTCCCAATCTGACCAGCGCATTAATTAGGTACACCAAATCCAATCGGGTCAAGTCATCGTTGACTTGTGCTCCGTCGCCAAAGAGCTTGTTGAAAACAGTCTGGATGCGGGCGCAACGACAATCGGTGAGTAAACAGCTCGGCATATTGTTTGTGACATATTTCTGATGATTTGGGGGTTTTAGAGGTCCGATTCAAGAATAATGGACTGGACCTAATTGAGGTCCAAGATAACGGCAGCGGGATCTCGCCGGAGAACTATGAGAACGTGGGTGAGTTATCATTTCTCTCGGGGTGCATTGCAGTCAAGCTGACTTGTACTCTTCTCTTAGCATTGAAACACTATACCTCCAAATTATCGTCGTACGATGACCTCTCGAGCCTGCACACCTTCGGTTTCCGGGGCGAGGCGATATCCTCACTCTGCGCATTGGCTGAATTTCACATCGTCACGGCACAAGAAAAGCAAGTTCCTCGCGCGAATAGACTCGACTTTGAACAATCTGGGAAACTCCGAAAGACACAGATCGTGGCTGGACAGAAAGGAACGACTGCGTCGGTCGAAGGCATCTTCAAGCGGCTTCCAGTGCGTCGGCGGGAATTGGAGAAGAACATCAAGCGGGAATATGGGAAGGTTCTGAATCTCTTACATGCCTATGCATGCATCAGCACTGGAGTCCGATTCAGTGTCAGGAACACTGTTGGTAAGACACGGAACGTGGTGGTCTTTTCGACAAATGGAAATAAGACTACCAAGGAAAATATTGCCAATGTGTATGGCGCGAAGACTGCCCTGATATCCCTCGATCTAGAGCTGGAGTTTGAGCCTTCTACGGCTACGAAACGGATAGGCGATGACCAACTGAGTAAAATTCAGGTGCGAGGGCATATCTCACGTCCTGTATTTGGCGAGGGCCGTCAAACTCCGGATCGTCAGATGTTCTTTGTCAACTCGCGGCCATGTGGCCTGCCACAGATTCAGAAGGCGTTCAACGAGGTTTACAAGTCGTTCAATGTCTCACAGTCAGCGTTTATCTTCGCAGACTTTCAGATGGATACAAACGCTTACGATGTCAACGTCTCGCCTGATAAGCGCCAAATTTTGCTTCATGATGCAGGGGCTATGATTGAATCGCTCAAAGTTTCTCTTACTCAACTCTTTGGTGATGCGGAACAAACTGTGCCGCAGTCATCGGTTAAATCTAAGCCTTTGCCAAAACAGCAACCACTAGCATCACTTCCAGGGTTCGTCACTGCTCGGGAGCTGAATGAAAACGGTGGAATTAGAAGTCCAAGCCGAGATCGGACGAAAGAAAGCTCAGTGGAGACTTCGGGGGCGAGTCAACAGAGTGCGATGCAGCGTTTCTCGAGCTCAGAGGCGGGCACGGGAAGGACGCAAGTCACACCATCTCCGGCTCGATCAATGAGAACACCCCGTGCTGCAACTGATCGCTCTTCGATGTCGACGCCAGCCCCAAGTGAGCTAGAAACGCCTGCCGCGGCGATCTCCGACGATGAACTTTTCGTCCCAGAAGCCGCCCAGGAAGAGCCCGAGCCAGCCCTTATCTCCGATGAACCATCATCCCAGCCATCAGCTCCTGACGAGACTCCATCTCGTGCTCGTGGAGACCCAGAAGAAATTCCCAGCATTGTCCAGAATGCCTTCGATCGAATGCGCCCACGACGAGAACCTGCCGAACTTGCTACCATCACTATTGGCAACCGAACCGTAACGTCCATGGTCGGTAGTGGTCTTCCACGAAAACGAGTTGCAGAAGATCCACCCCTAATCAGAGCGCAGCCCCGGCGGAAGAGACTGATACACACACCATCACGTCCTAATATCTTCAGTGATCATATGAAATCTTTTGCTGCACCTGGGTCGCAGCCGGTTGACGAAGAAGATGAAGAGGCATCTGCTAGTGAAGATGATCAGATTGAGGAAGATGGAAGTAACCCTTCAAGTGAAATTGAGGACACACAAGGCGCTGAAGAAGAGTCTGAAGAGGAGGGCTCTCCTCCGCCCGAGAATGCTGATTACGTTCCCAACCAAAGTGCAGCTCAATCAGAACCCGAAAACACCGAGGCAAAAGACAAGGAAACTGCCGTAGATGATAATATCGGTGAAGCTCAAAAGAAGGCGCAGGAAGAGGCTACAGTTCAACGGCTGATTCATGAAGCCGAAGAGACTGCTGTACTTCCCGAAGAAAACAGCGCGAACCGTGCAAAGAAAATGAGCAAGGGCGCTGCGCATCGCGACGCGACTATACAGCTTATCGGTACGGTAGATGGCTCTATTGCACGTCTCCAATCCCAACTTATCACATTGCAAAAGACCATGCGAGACGGTACCAAGAAACCGAGAGAGGAAGTCACTGATCTTGGCGAAAAAACAGCCGAGGACAAACTTTCGTTGATTGTAAGCAAGAACGATTTCGCTCAAATGCGCATAATCGGCCAGTTCAACTTGGGCTTTATCATCGCAGTCCGTCCAGGAGAAGACCAAGATGAGCTCTTCATCATCGATCAGCATGCCTCTGATGAGAAAATTAACTTCGAGCGCCTGCAAGCTGAAACCGTGGTGCAAAACCAGCGACTCGTCCGTCCCCAACGCCTCGATCTCACTGCCGTTGAAGAAGAGGTTGTCCTTGAGAATCGCGCCGCCCTTGAGAAAAACGGGTTCCTCGTGACTGTCGACGAAAGCGGCGATGAGCCTATCGGTCGTCGATGCCAGCTGGTCTCGTTACCGCTAAGCAAGGAAGTGGTGTTCGGTGTACGGGATCTGGAGGAACTGATCGTGTTGCTGTCAGAGTCAATTTCAACGCCAAATGGATCGTCAGTACCACGGCCAAGCAAAGTGCGCAAAATGTTTGCTATGCGCGCTTGTCGCTCAAGTATCATGATCGGAAAGACTTTGACTAGCCGGCAGATGGAACGAGTCGTTCGGAACATGGGTACTATTGATAAACCATGGAACTGCCCGCATGGCCGACCGACTATGCGACACTTGATGAGTCTGGGCCAGTGGGATGAATGGAATGAATACCAGGATACCGAAGGACTAGACCCCTGGAAACAATACTTGGAAGGAGAAGCCGAAGAGGATGGAGAAGAAGACGGAGAATAATCCATAATGATACCCTGCGCGTGATATATATGTGAAATAAGAACAACAAATCAAATGAACAAAGACAACCATCACCACCATCGCAACCATCCTTTCGGTCGTCGATCCACGTTCTTCCCATTAGCATCAATATCAACATTCCCATTCTGTTCACTTGCGTTGTCATCCAGTTCCGTATCACTATCCCCCCGGTCATCGCCATCCTCACTCCCATGTTCCCCATGGCCGCTCTCAACAACATCCATCATATCCTCCAAGGCTAGCAAATCACGCTCAATCATCTCTGCCCAGTTCTGCACATCCCCGATCTCCTTTAACCCGTCGCGCGTCTCATCCGCGAATCCAATCCACTGCTGATTCTGCCGCGCTAGTCGCTGCGTATTCTCTGCTAGCTCGGCTTCTTGTCTTTCCAGAACCACCGCGTTCGATTGGACATTTGCTGCGCGGTCGCGGAGTGGCGCTTCGAGGTTTGTTCCGACTGAGTGGAGTGTTGCGGTAAAGGCTGCCAGAGCTTCTTTTTGTTGTTGGTCGGCTGTTGGGTTTTCTGGGTCTGCGGTTGGATTTGGGTTTGGGTTCGGTTGCGGGGTGGGGTTATCCATGGTTGGCTGTTTATTTGGTTTGGAGTTTGCTGATGGATTTGTAGATTATAATCTTTGGAGAGATGATCCCAGATAACTCGCTCGGATCTCTATGTAGCTTTCGCTGGGGGTTTGGACGTACGGTTACTGATATAAGACATCTGTACGGAGTAGACAAAAGATTGACAGCCCCACTTGGCACATGTCATCTCTGGCATCCGTTCCCCCCGCCCTGGATAATGATGGAGATGTGTCGATCAGGGTATCTGATCGCGATCGCTCTCGCTTTGTAAAGACCGCAAGTTCCAGTCACTTAGTTATACTTAACATGTGAAGAGGGCATATATCTGACTTGTTCGTGGAATATTTATCCCTATTTGAGGTTTCATCAGAGTCGAATATATATTGTCCGTTCTAGATCATTTTCACTCAAGGAACTATCGTATTCGTAAGAAAAAGTACAGCTTGGTCCAGACAGCGAGGAAGCTCCAGATTATAAGTGCAAAATATCGTACGTCACTATGGACCTGCTCAGAGAGACGCGGTGAAGACGGGTCCCGACCTTGGATACTTTTCACATTGATAGAGTCGTGTATTGGGGCATTACATTATGAATACCATGGAGAAATAAACAGGCGTAGTAACTCTACTAGCCTGGGTTATTTTCACCGGTCAGCATAAGGAGTGGTGCATAGTTGAAGGAGACATGTCTCATTAATGATCGAACAGCTGTTATTTCAGTCCCTACGATATCCACCTACATTCTGGTAAGCTGCTAGGACCCCTAGAGTCCTAGTTGATTGAAATGTTTTTTTGTACTCTGTAGTTCAAGCTATAGTATGGAAGGTGGTAAATGTTTTTTTTACATACGCCCAGCCACCTAGCGACCTCCCACCCCAATTAGGCTTAGTAGTACTTTCTTATTTCCTTTGTTCTTTGTTCGCGAAGATAAAAAGTGGGGCTGTCACTTCCTAAGTAGGCCAGAGCAAGTTGCACAGGTCAGGTCTGCTATATAAAGTCCCCCCAGGGTCTTTCAAACTTCCTCCTTTCAACCTCCTCCCTCGCAAGCTTCCCGGACCCAATCTGGCACAGCTTTCATGGGAGTGGTACAGGTGAGCCTCATACCTCCTCCTCGGTCAAGATGATCTGCTAACATTCAACAGCCTTTAGAGATTTACGGGGGACACTGCAGGGTCTCCTGTAAATATCGAACCGGCATGGTATGTTGTCCCACTTGCAGATTGGACATACTTTTTTTTATAACTGACTCGCGCCTCTTAGTGCCTTCGTCGGAAAACCTAAGCCAGGGCCCCAAGCCTCGGCAGCGGTTGTATGTTCTCCACCCGTGACAATATTTTCCCCATCACTGACTTATCACCTCTTAGAACCTTCGTTGGATGACGGAATGTACCTGCACTAAGCGTGGACTCTTGTCCGATCAGCCTTGGTGATGTGGGGTGAGTCCCTCTACTCTGCTGGTGACAATTTTTTCCCCATCACTGACTTGTTATCTCTCAGAACCTTCGTTGGATGACGGAATGTACCTGTACTAAGCGTGGACTCTTGTCCTGTCAGCCTTGGTGATGTGGGGTGAGTTCCTCCACTACTGACAATCGTTTTCGTTTCACTGACTTGTTATTTCTTAGAACCTTCGTTATGGCGGCAAAGTACCTGCATTGAGCTTGGACTCTCATTGATTGTTCTGTCAGCCTTGGTGATGTGCGGGTGAGTTCTCCAGCCAGTGGCCTTTTACCATTTCTAACCACAGTCTCCTTCCATTAGAATAATTGTCAAAAACGCCCGGACCAAGTCGGCACCCTCCTTTGGAGGATCCGTGCTGTGAACCTTGGGGAGGCAGATGGGATAATTCGCCAGTACCATCAATCCCTACGGGTTTGGAAGCCTGAGGCGGAGTCGGTATGCACGTAGTGATACATGCTGCCATTTCGTCTTGCGGGGCATCTGGGACACAAGTCCAAGGTAAGTCTTACCAGTCTTACGAGTCTGTGGTTGTCATCATCTCTTACCTGCGCTCTTCTTTCATCAGAACCTTTAGGGGAAGACCTGAAGTCAGACGGGAGTGCACAATCCCAGTTCTGGCGGGTCGGCTAAACTCCAGGTGAGTCCCCTTATTCAGTCTGTTTGTTTTCGCTACTAACTTGGGGTTATTTCTGTCTAGTGCATTCAGCGGAGTTTTTGGGATTACGCAGGAAACTGTGTGATACCGCTTGCAACTGGCCATGCAACCCCGCTTTTTTTCGAAGAAGCGAAGAAACAAGTTGGAGCTTCAAGCTTTGCGATATCCTTGTTTGGCCTTCGGGCTCCTTGCTGTGGGCAGTGGGATTTTGATTTAATCAAGGAAAAGAGGGCTATTGGTATGTTGCATGGGTACAGGGTTTGAAGAAGATACTTTCAAATCGATATACCCAGAAGAGCCATAGAACAAACTTCCATTACCTCTCTGATCGGAGTGGGCTGAATCGTCCAATGGACGATTTGCCTGATATGCTCTTGGTCATTGATGTACTTGGAAACATTCAACGTAATCAAAAACAATCAGTGATTGTTTAATTAGTGTCCAGTTTTGAATTTAAGAGACTTTTGATATTGCAACTACAACCTGAAATAGCCTAGCGTAATAGATATGTTACTGTATCTCAAAACAATACCCTGTAAATACTTTGGGTCTCCTCCATACTAGGGGTAGTCGTTATCAAACCGAAGTCAAGAGCGCAGTGCAGATTGTTGGCTTCAACACAGCATTATTATTTTTGGTATTCACACCCCTTGACTAAGTGGAGAATATTGGCAACCAGCTTTAGCAATAAATGACTAGTCTTTAGCTTAGGAATTTAGCAGAACTTGAAGACTCGAGATATCTGTGAGCACCAGAAACAACTTCTTAGTCTACGAGCGAGTTACTATTGACTACAATACTACGAAAAGCGCTAGCGCATTTGAGTAAAACTCCTGCGATGAAATAAATTGGCATATACCTAAAGGTCTAAGCACTGTCCCACAGCCCCGACCTGGCGCGAAATACAATGCCAGTCGTCAAATATATTGTGGAGGCTATTCTTAAGTACAACTAAATGGCCCTGAAGCTGGCGGATCTTCCACAGGAACTCGGAATTGTACCCGTAATAGCCATGTCCATCGCGCACGGTACGGCATTGTGGCATCTCCCTATACATAGTGACGCTAGCATTTTCAACAACACGTACCTCGTAAATAAGGTCGGTGAGGTTGTCATAGGCTAGGGCTAAGCGGAAGGGCGAAGTCTCATTGCGGGTCATAATGGCATCAATCTCGAGCTGTACTTTAGCTATAAATTGGTCGCGGACGTGCAGAAACTGATGCTCGGCGTTCCATGTGAAGATTGGCATGATTCTGAATAGGTCTACAAACCTAGGTAGGGGACTGTATTCTGTGAGGTTAGTCGGTTGATGATGCTTTGAATGAACTTGACGAGAAGAGGGTGCGATCGAGTCTATTTATGCAATTTCCGTCGATGGAAACCAGATTAGTGAAATTTAAAGAAGATTGACAGAGAGGAAACAATGCGAGTCATAAAGACTTCACGTTTTCTTTGCCTCTTTTATCATCCTTTGTAGTTTGAACAGTAGACTTGATAAAGAGTTAGGGACAAAACTGTATCGCTGGAGCCGAGTCACTCAAAGAGATTTTCCAAGTCTTTGGTGTGCTATAATACCACGTAGGTATACGGAAATTCTGTATAGGTCCGCTTCGGATTGCTAATCTAAGCGAAGTAGCAGCGAACGAGATATCGCTCTTCCTCCTGCAGGGCTAGAGGTAGATGTAGTATTTAGCGGGAAAGTCAATGACTTCCGAGCCTTTATTCGTCCGCGTTTCAGAATAAAGTGTTGGACTCGTTACAACTGGCTCCACACGTGATTCTACTTAGTTATACGAAGAGCGAGGAATAGCATAACCGAATATCACCACCACCTAATATCCCAACGAGAGATCAAAACCGAAGCCGGCTTGCAAACTGGAAATCTGTCTCGGACCAATCAAGGACCTCGACGGAACTACACTACGGAGATTATCCCTACATTGCTCCCTACATAACTACATACCAGAACTACATACCAGGACTACATACCGGAACTACATAGTAGTTAGTAGTTAGTTAGTAGTTAGTTAATTAACTACTTACAGGAGGCGACATATGGCCTCTATAGCTACTACCTAGCTATGAATGCTGAGACTGTCTCACATTCTAGGTTCCTTTGTACCCGAAGGGTCCACTGAGACACCATTCAACCTTTGAACATCAGCAACAAAGGGAAACCATTTTTGATAGGGGTTACTACATATGTACTTACAATTCCCAGTGAAGAGCCTCGCATTTATTCATATGCAAAGAAGGGCGAGAATTTATAAAGTTGGTACAAAGTAATGGAGGTAAGGGCAGCACTAACTAGAAAGGGGTATAGAACGCAACGCGCTGTCCTTTCTGTTTCAGAGTTGTCCACGGACCTATTTCTGTCTTTCCTTTTCATATTTTTGTAAAATCAGCGAAAATAGATACCTCATCTTCCACTGTTGTCCACATCATGCTCCCACAGCACGCAATTCCACCCAAAGAAGGCCGCTTTCCTCCGTCACATCCGAGGTTCAAAGCAAAAACACGACCAAAACGCATGCTTTTTCGGATCATTCGCTTCATCTTTGCGGTAGGGGCTGGCTGGTTCATAATATCATCTCTGCTCCTCAGGGAGCCAGATTCAAGCCCCAAGAGTCTGAAATCGACTTCTAGCTTGGTCACGGGCAGACTTTGGCAACTATGGCCTACTGGTATCAGGACTGCGGAATCACCTGTACATGATTCGACGTCGCAAGACATGTTGGATGAAAAATCAACTGTACAAATTCCATTAGAGTCGCAGGAAAACGTAAACTCCGCAACAGGGAAAGACCAAGACTCAACGCAATCATTATCAAATAATGTTGAACACACCGACAAAAAGACGGATCCAGAGAATCTAGGGCTTGACATCTCTAGCGCTGCTCTTGACTACCTTCTGTCAACCATTCCCAGCGAGTCAGACACACGAGAGCTCCTACAGCCAGTAACCAGCACAGGGGAGAAGAGGCTGCACGAGCTTGGCCTGCGCACACGCGCATATAAAAAGTTCTTCGAGGCTTGGGAGGATGTCCACCTCGTCAACAACAGAGATCACACTTACGTGCGGGACGATATTATCACCCACATGCGCGACACGTTCAGCGAGTCAACATTCCCCGAGGCGCTGCAAAAATACGAAACTTACCGCCACTTTGTCACCAAATTCGCTACACTGTTGTTTCCGTGGACGAGCCCGTACTTTGCAGACCACATGAGCTTGCACGTCTCGTCGCGCCATGGAGGCCGCGGCATCGTGACAACAGCGGGCAATAGCCATGCGCCTTACCTACTGGCTGCCATCCCTTCCTTTCGCCTCCTGGGCTGCGATCTCCCCATCGAGATAATGTACCTCGGTGACAGGGATTTGAATGAAGATTTCCGCACGAAGCTTGAAGCTCTGTCAGGCGTCACAACGCGTGACCTCTCTGTAATGGTTAATGACGAAGGTTGGCAGCTCAACGGATGGGCCGGGAAGCCCTTTTCTATGCTTCTCTCGTCTTTCCGCGAAGTCATGTTCATTGACGCCGACTCGCTATTCTTCATTAACCCCGAGTTACTATTTGATGACCCGGAGTACTTGCGCACGGGCGCCCTTTTCTTCAGAGATAGGAAGATCATGCCAGAGAGCAAGAGGGAATGGCTGCAGAAGATCTTGCCGCCGCCGATTTCGGAATCCGTGCAGCAGAGCAGAATGTGGACCGGTGAAAGCGGGCATATGCAAGAATCGGGAGTCGTTGTTGTGGATAAGTGGATGCACTTTGTCGCATTGTTGCTTGTATGCAGGATGAATGGGCCAGATAGGGATGGCAATGGCGGGGACATTAAAGGGACTTATGATATGGTCTTCGGTTCGTTGCGCCTCACTACATACCTTCTCAAATCCCTTTTTTATTTGCTAATCCTTAGAGCTGCACAGGTGATAAGGAAACTTTTTGGATTGGATGGGAGCTCGCTGGTGATACTTCCTATGCCTTCCACCCGGGCGGATCTGGAGTCATGGGCGTAGTCCAAGTCCCCGACAGTGTCAACGCCACTAATGAACGGCCTGAGGGTGTTCCAGTGAAAAAAGTACGCAAAATGGCGCCTGGCCACGAGTCAGACCAAACTATCTGCGCCCCCCAGCTTCTTCATTTGGACCGCGAGCAGCGCCCTGTGTGGTTCAATGGTTGGCTGTATGAGAATAAATATGCGGGTAGTAAACGGGTTGGAAGATTTGACATGTTTATGGAGGAGCCGAGCGAAAATCTAGATCCTGCGGCGTGGCAACTAGAGGAGAGCAATCTATGTTGCTTGTCAAATTCTGCGGCAAAGGCCTTTACAACACAGGAGACTGAATGGCTGGAAGTATTGATTGGGATGGCAAAGACGGTTGAGCCAGTGGAGGGATAATGTCTTCATTCAAATCTAGATAAAGGGTGGCCACGCTTGGCTGAGAACAGAAGTCTAAAATATATCTATTATATTAATGTTGAGAAATGTATTCCAGTAACATGACTGACCGAAGGGATATTGAAACCACCTCCATCAAGCAGAAACAGAACTTACCTAGCTAGGCAATTGATCTTCGGCTCTGCTATAACGTAAAGTCGACAGATATTGAGTCTGAAGCGTGTACAAACAGGCCATTTACACATACTGGCTCCCAAGTTGGGTTCTAGTGATGTGTAATCCCACGCCCACGAGCCCTACAATACTCACCTAGCCGCTATCATGGAACCCCAAAAGAACGTATAGGCCCACATGTTTTGGCCCGCCCCCAATATTGCCGAAGCATTGTTTTGGGAAAGGTTGCAATCGGATGATCATAATCGAGGGTTGGATTGCTCCAAGCCTCGATTAGATAGAAAGTCCCAACAAGCGGCCGGGCTGTAGTCCTCGCAGTAATTCACAGTCTCCTGTAGATTACACCGGGCCTGTTTGATGTAAAAGAATGTCAGTAGTTGTCTAATGCAGGTAGAGGGGGTGTTGTTAGTTGAACTTACGAAGGGTGTGAGAGAAGAGAGAAAGAGGGAAGAAGTAGAATGTGAGAGATGGGGGGCTTTATAAGAATTCATGCACACAGGTGTATGCCGCGATGACAGCGTTTTTTAGTCGTACTGTGAACGGCCTAGGTCGCCATTTTGTCGTCTTGATATGTACCTTCCAAGGTTATCGGTCAAAGTGGGGCCGCTACTTCCCGACTTGACCTAGCACAGACTTTGTTTGAGCCGCACATTAGTAAGCAGTGCAAGCGAAAAGGATGCAGTTATACAATAATTTCCGATGACATTTCTTTCATATCGCTCATTACTGCTTCATCACCTATTCTCAATTACCCTTTGTGTCACCACCGCATAGGTTTTAGGAAGGTTTGGGAGTCCAGACATAGCACTGCATATATGCCCACTCAAGTGTCTCTTCACTGGCTGTTTTGCAGTCTCCTCCATACCATGACTCTAATCAGCCGAATAATATCACCCCGCAACTTCTCTAGTACAACGGATCTGTGGTCTCATGAGACCAAAACCAAACACCAGGGGTAAGCTCTGGGAATTATCGATTTCAAGGATACAGATAAATAGTTTATGAGGCGAATGGCGACATTTTCAAAAAAAGAATCAAGGTCAAGAAACCCGCTGCGCAAAGCTCTCATCCATGCATAAGTTCGCTTGTAAAAAGAAAAAAATCAAGACACAGCCAGAAATAATTAATAACACATGTTTGTCACAAGAACTATGTCCACACCTTGAAAAGACGGAAAAAAAAAAGGAATATTGTAAATAGGTAGATCGTTCAAAGAACCCCTGATAGAACGGCTTCGGTGGCTATATATCTGTTAGCTGTGTCCATTACGATATTGATTGAATGATGACTTACCAGAATTGATGTACGGCCGCTTGGCATCCAAGTTGACATCGAACCGCCTTTCAAGTTCCTGCTTGACGGTCTTCTTCGAGACCTTCATCAAGTCTGCAGTCGCCAAGATCTTGCGGATCTCTTCGAGAATCTCATCATCGGGAGGTAGATGGCTGAGGTCTTCCATGCCATAGCTGCTCATCATTTCAGATGGGGCAGCAGAGTAACGAGTACCACCCCCTCCAAGGGGCAAGTCGAGCTGCGAGACCGGGCGCGAGCCAGTATGGTACCCATACTCTGACTGCGGGAAGGGAGGCAGTCGGGTGCCGTAGGAGTGTGCAGAGAATTCAGACCGATCGTCGCGCGACGTCTGGGATTCCCACAGCTCAGCCTGGTAGTCTTCCCAGATTTTCTTAGGAATGGAGTCGGGGTCGAATTTGCCTTCGTCGGAAATGACAACTTTGCGACCTTTCTCTCCGGTGATAACACGCGTATTACCCCAGGAGAAATCGTCCATGTGCCAGAATGAGTACAGTGGCAGAGCAAAGGAGAAAATGGGAATGGCCATGAGGTAGATCAACATCCAGCCAATCATTTCCCACTTCCGTCGAACGAGGAAGATCAAGGCCTGGAGACCGTAGATAACACCGAGGAGAATGAATGATGTGATGGGCAGCACACTAGGCTCACTCACACACCAATAGATCAGGTAAGCAATATAGGCGACTGTGACTGGCTGGATGACGGTCATGAGCAGATCGATGAGCACAATGAATCGCATACTGAAACAGCAGAAACCACACAGCTGTGACAGCGGAATCAACTCCATCAAGTTGTGAACCGTAGAATTGATCCATCGGCGACGCTGGGAAAGGAAGACAGTAAAGCTTTCCGGTGCAACTGTCCAGGCATGGCATCGGAAGATGTACTTTGTCTTGAACTTCGGGTGATATTTGATAAGCAGTGTCGTCAAGTAACGATCTTCACCAAGGTGCAGCAGATTCTTCATGTGGAGGGTATCGACGCGAATCTCCGAGTAGGCCTCGACGACAGCCTTACTAACAAAGAGAGGCGTTCCATTCTCCGCTGTGCGGATACGATACATAGTGAAACAACCGGGCAAGCAAGTGACGGATCCAAACAAACTTTCGAATGCCTTCGTCAGATTGTGAGAGATGTAGTATTCATAAACTTGGATCATCGTCACGATGGAGGTCTTGGCGTTAGACAAAGACGTCTCTCCACAGCAGCCGATGAGACGCGTATCGGAAAGGAATGCCGACACGAACCGGGTGGCGGCATCGGGCGCCACCATGGTATCAGCATCGACCTGTAGAATGTACTCGTAAAATTGCGGGTTGACGCCAATAATGTTCCGGATGTGATGGTGCATTTCAAGCTCCATGGGGCTCATGGGCAGGTTGTAGTGAACACGGTTGAGGAAGCGCATAAGAACCATCTGGGAATCACGCTTTCCGCGGTTACCAGGACGGGACACTTCAGAAGGCTTTCCAACCTTCACAACGACCAGGAAAGGAACGATGTGACCCTGGACTTCGTACAGGCCAGAATAGAGCTTTGCCATGTTATGCTGTTTCATGCCCTCGCCTAGACTCTCGAAGCTGAGCGGTTCAGGATCCACGGATTCGGGGACACCCAAAATGTCCAGGACGATGCGGGGAGTCGGACGATCGTTGCCTTGGCCAATAATCATACCATCACAGATAACGAGCAGTAGCTTGCGCTTGTCGTCATAGCGCATGCGAGCCATGGAGTCCATAGCACGACGCAATGAATCTTCGTCTTCGGTGTAGACCGGGACTTGGCAAATGATAAACTTGTCCAAATTCTCCGGAAGGTTCTTCCTTGTGAATTGCAACGCAGCTACGAACTTGAAGCCAATAATGGTGACAAGCATGATCGAAATTGCGAGAATGAAGTATCGCGCAAACTGACAACGAACTGAGTCTCGAGTGTCGACTTTGCCAATGAAAAACAGGTTGTCAAGGCAAAGTTGCATCCGCGACTTGAGAGCCGTGTCGAAATCCAAGTCATCCCAATACTTGCTTACATCTTCTCCGGGCTTTTCCTGGAAGAGATTGACAAGCAGAGGGCTCATGTAATCGGTATCAACACTGCCAGTGGCGTTCTTCCCCGCTGGCCGGCGAGGTACTCGGGGCCCGGCAATGTAATATGTCATGTCATAGACTTTCCCGTGTATACTTACTACATTCTTCGAATCGTCGGTGGCCAGCTTCTTCATTGCCTTTGCCGTATAACCAACGTAGCCTTTCTTGTAATTCGAGCGCATCATAAGCATTTGCTCGTAGAACCAATCAGCTCGGGGGTCAGTAGTCCAGTAGCGGAAATCGTGGTACTTGGCATTGATATCAAAGGTGGAGCTGGATGTCGTGGCTGCGGAATCATTCAAGTTTGATCGATAGTCCAATGGTACGCTGGGATCCACTTTCCCATTAACACCCTGGCACAAAGCCGAGACTTGAACGGGGAAAAGATTGGTAGCGTCGGTGCCTGCGTAGGTCTTGAGTGACTTCTGGGGAACGATCGAAGGGAAGTGGGATGGCATGAAACTTCCAAGGTTGAAAACCACGCCTCGGATGGCAATATAAGAGTCAGCTGTACCCGCGCCATTCTTACCGCTGAGCTCTGCCGTGTTGTAAATATTCTGAGTTGGACAAACCACTCCAGGGAAACCGACAATCATGAAAACTGCTACACCACAGGCGAACCAAATGATCATGTTGATAGCAAGTTTTTCACGCCAGGCAATTCGCACGTCTTTGCGCTTCATTCGCCCAATGAACCGGATCGCGAAATCAGGGATCAGGAACGTGAGGAGGTAGACTAGGAACATCCAACGGCGACGACCCGGGGAGGTCGGAGCCTCGTCGACTTCCTCCATCTGTTTTTCGTTGTTTTTCTCGAGCATTTGCTCTTTCGTGTCAAGATTTTTGAACATATCACCGGAATTGAAGGCGGAACCTCCGGCATCAGAGCGTCCATCCAGTTCGCGGCTACCGAAATAGCCTTGTTTGGGATCATCTCCATAAATAAAAGTACCCGGAGACTGGTCGGTGGCGTGAAGAAGTCGGAGTTTGGAGTCTGGGTTTCCACCGGCGGCCTGGAAGCCATCGACTTCATCAGCACCGGCATTTGCATAGGATGGTACCACGCGCTCGCCCACTTTGGCGATATCTGCCCAGCATCGTTCGCTCAAGAAAACGCCGGTGCTACCGACACGAGCTTCGTTACCAGGCCATCGTTTTTCGTCGAGAACAACCTCGGACTTTTCACGATCGCTGCCGACCACAATGTTCCCGATGTCAGCGAGGCCAAGGAACTCTCCGAACGGAAGGAAGACACTGTAATCGGCGTTCCGCAGACGGGAGCTGATTTCAGCGATACCGAATGTTTGGACCTGCATCCGCACACACTTGCTGTCGAATTGGTTGGCAATGCGACGATCATTGGGCTTGAGACAGATGACGAAGTAGGGATTGAGGTTCGAGGAGCTCAAGCATTTGTTCATGATC